AAAATTTCTAAAGGAGCCGATTAAACCCGCTTGTAAAGGCCAAAAGATTTTTGGTGCACTGCCAATAACATCACTTAAGATCATATTTTCTAAACTTTTATAAGAGTTATGTATAAAACACCAACTAATTAGTATTCATAGCAGCTGGAGAAAATCAAGTAGTTTTAGAAAATATTCAATAATTTTATTTTTGAAAGTATAGATTAAATAATTTTAATATATTCCAAAAAAATATTAAGAATTTTATAAAATTCGATACAAACCATTTATTTAATGTGAATGATAAAAATCATAAAATTATCACGATGTAAACTCTTAAAACTGGTTCCTTTAAAAAACTGTTTGGTGCTTGAACTCAACTTTTAAATTAATGAATTAGTTAATTGCTACCAACTATTAATGAAAAAAATTCTTCAAACTTTTCATATTCTTGCTTTTTCTTTTTGTTATTTACTGCTTCGCATCTGCATCGTAAAATGTAGATAAGTTTTCTGGATTGTTGAAGTAACTTCACCCATATGAAAAAAGTTGCTTTTTTAATGCTTACAATACCACTAGAACGCAAAACACAGTTTAGAGGACTCATTACGTTTATTAAATTCTATACTATATCTATTAAATTATATCCGATAAATTAAAAATTTTACTATTTAATTATTTCAAGAAATTAAATGGTATTTAAAAGACAGTAAGACAGTACTTGCATATCAAACCCCGTTCAGTTACCACGGATAAAATATTGTTCATATACTAGACCTAGTACATTGACAAATCCATAATTAGTAAAAAATTGGTAATTGGGTTCCTTTTTTAAATTTACTAAATTTTTACTAATCAAGATCGGTTCTGATACATATAATAAAGTTTTCTATTCTTTTATAGAAATGCAATAGTAGTATAATATAGGCCAAATCTGAATCTTTCTAACACGCAGAAACCAGTTAACACAGATACCGTAGTATCGAGTAGATTTCTCTTTAGTTGAAGCAACTTATAGGTGTCATTCTTGTTTAAATTGGATTAAATAAGTTTTGAGGACTGCCAAAATATATTCATTTTAAGCCATCTTTGCTGTTTTGTAAGAAATCACTTCTAGAGAGGAGTATACCTACTTTAATATTGTAAGTAAATATAAAAACAACTCCATGAATTGTTTTATACCTAACTCCGTACTTTTACTAAATAATCTTTTTTCACATGTTATTTATGGCAGTATTACAGAGTACATAATGTGTTTTTGTTATATTGGCCATGTAACCAACTAATACACTTATTGTTGGGAAATCTTATCTGTGGATTAATATCAGGTATGATATTGTATAGAATGGAACCGACTAGTGCGCCTTTACTTTAGACAAACTTACATTAAAGTCTGTTTTGTTTTTTAAGAATGTTAACTTTTATTTCGTGCGTTATTTTTTAGTATAATTCTATACGTATTTCGGCAAATTCGCTTTTGCCTTCATCAGGAGGATTCCTAATATTAAAAACATCTATGCAACTTACAAGCTATTTATACTTATTACAGGTCTTATAATTTAAATCTAATTGGTAGGGTTATTGTTGTTTTTGTCCTTGAGGGTGTTAGGTAAAAAATGGTGGGATGGGTTAGTTTTTGTTGTTCAGGCTTAATCATGCGTAGGTAGTTCGGTCAACTGGTTGGATTTGTTTTTTGGGATGTATTTGAAAAGCCATGATGATACGTTTCCCTTATCGCCGTTGAGTAACGGTGTTGCCTGATGTTTGTGTATTTCGATGCTCTCTGCCGTTTTTAATTTCCAGGTATCCCTTACGTTTTTAATTATTTGGGCATTCTCTTTGTTGATGTGGTGTTTTTCCGTTATTATATGTCTGGCGACATTTGATTTTATGTGAGGGTTTATTTTTTTCGGTGCTTCCCTCGCTTCTTTTAGGTGTTCTTCGAGCCTTACCGATAAGGGTCTTTTTGTTTGTCCGATGTACACTTTGTTGCAGGAGCCGCAGTTGATCTTGTATACCCCGCATTTTTCTAAGGAGTCGATTGGGCCTTTTGTGGATGGTAATAAACTTTCGAGTTGGTGTGGTCTACTGGAGTAAACTAGGTCGATATTGAATTTTTTCAATTTGGTTTTAAGACCTTTGGAGACGGTGTTGTTATACACTACGGCGACCCTTCTTTGTTTTGGCTTCTCTGTTGTTAAGGTCGTCATGTTTCTGGAATATAGTTGCCTGCGTTTCTTTTTTATAATTCTGTCGATGGTGTTGTGGGAGTATCCGTTGATGTCCGCTATTTCCTTGATGTGTGTGGTTTCCTCATTGATAGCTGCTTGTGTACACAGAATGCTAACATTACCCCTTACCCCTTTCCTTGATGTGTGTGGTTTCCTCATTGATAGCTGCTTGTGTAAGGGGTAATGTTAGCATTCTGTGTACACAAGCAGCTATCAATGAGGAAACCACACACATCAAGGAAATAGCGGACATCAACGGATACTCCCACAACACCATCGACAGAATTATAAAAAAGAAACGCAGGCAACTGTATTCCAGAAACATGACGACCTTAACAACAGAGAAGCCAAAACAAAGAAGGGTCGCCGTAGTGTATAACAACACCGTCTCCAAAGGTCTTAAAACCAAATTGAAAAAATTCAATATCGACCTAGTTTACTCCAGTAGACCACACCAACTCGAAAGTTTATTACCATCCACAAAAGACCCAATCGACTCCTTAGAAAAATGCGGGGTATACAAGATCAACTGCGGCTCCTGCAACAAAGTGTACATCGGACAAACAAAAAGACCCTTATCGGTAAGGCTCGAAGAACACCTAAAAGAAGCGAGGGAAGCACCGAAAAAAATAAACCCTCACATAAAATCAAATGTCGCCAGACATATAATAACGGAAAAACACCACATCAACAAAGAGAATGCCCAAATAATTAAAAACGTAAGGGATACCTGGAAATTAGAAACGGCAGAGAGCATCGAAATACACAAACATCAGGCAACACCGTTACTCAACGGCGATAAGGGAAACGTATCATCATGGCTTTTCAAATACATCCCAAAAAACAAATCCAACCAGTTGACCGAACTACCTACGCATGATTAAGCCTGAACAACAAAAACTAACCCATCCCACCATTTTTTACCTAACACCCTCAAGGACAAAAACAACAATAACCCTACCAATTAGATTTAAATTATAAGACCTGTAATAAGTATAAATAGCTTGTAAGTTGCATAGATGTTTTTAATATTAGGAATCCTCCTGATGAAGGCAAAAGCGAATTTGCCGAAATACGTATAGAATTATACTAAAAAATAACGCACGAAATAAAAGTTAACATTCTTAAAAAACAAAACAGACTTTAATATAAATTTCGACGTAACAACTCAAAAAATTAATAACAAAATTATAAACTTACATTGTTAAACTAACTTGTCACACTTTACTTATACGCCTTTTATACTTAATTAACATTTTTTTATTTATTTTTGGTTAATCAACAAATAATTTTTACTGCTAAATCTAAAAAATTGACAAATTATCCATCTAGTATTTCTAACAATCAATTTATAACTGCTCTTTCTTATTTTCCTACTTCATATAGAAGAAAAAAATATTCAATTCTTCTTTTTTATTCATTTAATCAATCATTGAACATTATAATAGTAATTTCAAAATTCGTGGGTAGAATTCTATTTTGGCTATACCACTACAGATTTTATCAAACTCTTCTAATCACTAGAAAAATTTTCTATTCTACGGCGAAGTTAGTTCTAATAGGAAGTGATGTCCACATGCTCTAAAGTTTTCAAATCACCACAGAAAATTTTGAATCTATTCATTGTAAATATAGCAGAAAAGGTCATAACTTCTGTGTTTTCGTTATATTCATAAAAAATTTTATTTATTTAATTATTTACTTGTGAGTTAACACTAAAATTAATTTATACTTTACTAAGACTAAGGAACTGGACTATTAGGTCTTTCGCCCTACCTATAAAATAATAACTGTAGATTATTTAAAAACAGGGACACAAAATTTATTTGTATGAAATTTTTATATGAACTATGAGTAAGAATGTAGAAGAAAAAATGACATTATCAAAAGAAAAAGGTTTTGTGTTATCACAGTATGGCATTCTTTTACAAGACATAATTAATATAATTTCAATATATACATATAATTGACAAAATTTAAGGTTGAAAAATATATTAAAAATTTTTGGAAACTTTAATATTTCGTTCATGTTATCGCTGACCTAACAAATATATTTCGTTTAAGAATGAAGGACCTAGTAGTCCAGTTCCTTATTCTTTTTTATCTTTAAAATTAATTTTAGTGTTGACTCTGAAATAAATAAATAAATATTTCGCAAGTTCATACCTTAATATATGTATACCTTTAAAGATATACATATAATAATTTTTGAATTCAAAATTAAAATTTAAATTTTCAAAATTATAATTAAAGTTCACACTTTTTCTTATTTGTGTAAATACATGGACTTAAGTAAACTGCAATATCATTGTGAATTTCACAAAGTATTTCAAGAGTTTTGAGATACAGTACATACATTGCATTGTGTTCACACCAATAAACGTTTCTGGGTATGTGAATGTGAGGTAATTCGCTTGATCGGTTGTTTACTCTGACGGTTGGTTCATTCTATCGTCACGTAGTAGAATCGCAGATATAAACGTAATTAATTTAAAATCTGATTTATAGCAATTTATAATTTTATTTTTTTGTGCCTTCACATATAATTGATGAAAAAAATTTTTATTTTATTATTCAAACAACTTTTATAATTTACCTTAATTTTGATTTGTTTTAAAAAATCGCGAGTGCTCAGAAACGTTTAAGCAAATTAGCAACACAATGAGTGAGGCATGAAAACTGTCAAGTAAAGGTAACCCCCTAAGCTGAAAAATAAGCGCTGTATTATTAACCAATTAAGATATAATAATACCGGAATTTATATTTAGCGAAGCTACATTGTTAGTATACAAGCTCTCGCGGATAATAATGCAGTGCCCAGAATAGTCAGTGGACAGTCTGACGTGAACGGTAGAAAGTCGCACGCGTGGACGGCTAAGCCCACATTCGCTAAATAATCGTAAAGGTCTTTGCAGACAGTGATCAATACAAAGCCAAAAATGGAATCAAAAGAAAGAAAAAAATGTCAATAAAATGAGTAAAGTTTGTATAAAATTAACGTTTAAGTTTAGTACAACTTCTGTTGAAGCCCGATAAACAACGTCTAAACTCTTCAAAAGCGATAATGAAATTTTAGTGGTTTTCAGTATAAATGAAAATTATTTAAAAAAAAATATGATTAAAAAATTAATGTATAATTAATTGCTAACACAGAAGTATAACATTTATGTGAAATAATTTTTTTCGTATGTAAAATATATAAAAATTTAATAATTTTTCAACACATGAAATGAAAGTTGAACGGAAATACACGCTTCGGTTGTCTATTTTTGTAGTGAGATACTTGTATGAATATATCAGTCACAAATGACAAACGCTAATGTTATGACGTCACAAGCTTACTCACAGCAGTTAGAATTTTTATGTTTTTAGTTCAGTCAATTCGATTCATTGTACGTAGAGTATTTGTCTGTCTTGAGTCTTGTAAAGACTGACGCCATGCTTTCGCGATAAGAAAATATATATTAATAATATAACGAAAGTGCAAAAATTGTGTACATAACGAAAAATAAATATTGCAACAAATTTATGTGTAAATATAATAAATAATGATATGATCCAAACGAACTTAAATGCTTATAAACAAACTTAAAAATTTAAAGGCGGTGTATTTAGATCTACAAAGCAGTGACCACAATTATTCAATATAAATTAGCAGTTATATACGTAATTACATAAAATTTATAGTAAAAAATTAAAAAAAATTTATTTAGTATGAAATTGCTACTAAAAGTAAACTCAGAAAAAACGCGTAAACGTCATCGATGGAATTCGCCGGAAACTAGTTCGAAAACAGCCGTAACATCACTGAAAAGTACGTATTTCTATAGAAGAAATTTGCTATTTTACACTGAGTTATCAATTTTGGTTAGGAAATTTTACATTTTGCACCACAAAATGATTCAGTTAATCTTTAATAATGCAAATATATGGTTTTAAAAGTAAAAATATGAGATAAGAATCTGCTAAAATAATTAATTCTGTACATGATTCATTAAGATAATAATGAAGAGGAATTAAATTTATTATTTTATAAGTCAAAAATCTAATAAGCTGAGATAATTATAGAATATGGTATGTACTATAAATTCTTGTCTTCTTCATACTTATATTTCAGTATTAATTTTATTTGCATTATAGCTGTAAATTGTTAAGTATGTATTTCTATTTATATTAATAAATTTAGAGATACAAAAAATTTTTTTTTAATTTAAAAAAAATTAATATTCTGTATAATGAGTATATGTAATTATTTTAATTATCCCTAATTAATTTAAATTAATTAAATTTAAAAAATTAATTAATCAAAAAACATTTTTTTGACTTAAGAGTAGACTCCATCGAGTATAATAATGCTACTAATAATTTACTAATGCTTGAACCAATTGTTCTTTAGCGATTTTTTTTTACGATTGCAATTGCATTGAAATGACGCTTGGTCTCTATTGACTTACTGCCATCGTAGTGCACTCAAAATTATAATTGTAAAAATAATTGAAGTAAAAACACTGGTTAACAGATCGCGATAAAATCCTAAATGGTACCACAACACAAAGACACCATCTTACAGAAGAAATATAGTAGTATATTTTACCACTGTTTATAATATTAGAAAGATATAACAAAAGTTTTTTTTCAATCTTATTTCAGGCGAAATATTTATAAAATAAAAATTATTGTAAAATAAATTTTGAGTTTTTTTCTTAATTTTTATTTTTCATCAATATTAAAAAAATTTGATATATAAGCCTGAAAAAAAGCACTTTTATTAAAATCGTTTTGTCATAAAATAATTAATAAATAGAAAGATATAGTTCTAAAAAAAAATTGTAATAAATGCATGAACTGTAAAAATTTCATAATAAACGCCCAATTAAAGTAACATGTCCTAATTTCACTCAAATTAAGATACTTAATGAAGTTCGAACCATTCCAACTCAAGCACCCAATGGTTATTAAACAAACTAATGTCTCAATAATTTGTAAAGAAAGATCATTGTCGCGAATAATTGCCTGATACCTAGGCCATATGCTGTAAATTTATTTATTTCTTTTCAATTAAAAAAGTTTTTTAGTCAATAAATAATATTGAACTCCAATTATAAATTACGGATACTTTTTTTTACTCTTTTTGAAGTTATATCTGGCCTAAAGATTGAAAATATTAATATTAATTTTTAAACGATTACCAAAAACATATTGTACTTATCAAGGTGTTTAAAATATAGTACATAAATTATCGAAGAACTTGTAATATACTATATATACGAATATAATATATACACATTATACATGTGACATGACAACTTATTAAACTTGTCTAAGAGTTTATAATGCAATATAAAAGTCACGGAAGAATTAACTGTATATACACTTCATATATATATTTTTGATAAAATTAGCACAATTTTTGATAAAATGAGCAAGTTTAACTTAGTCATCTGTGTATGTAAAAAAGTGATTTTAGTAACACAAAGCCGGGGTAAATATTTAAAACTATAGTCAGAAATGCAATAGTCAGAGCACACATCTACTTTATGATACTTAATTTTAAACTATTCTTTTAAATTTTGTTCTTGACTAATGAAATTTTGCTTATGTCAACAGTGTGACATTATATTTCTCAATCTAATACTGTTGTAATGTTCACGGTTTACGGTTTACCTAACTTCATATATCCACATCTTTATCTCGGTTTCCACAATATAGGTGACATACCGACATGTCGCTACTTTATTCACGTAATGTTTTTCCAACTCAATGGTTAGTCTCGGGATTTAATTTCTTTCGATGTGGTAAACTTTTTTATAACAACTCCTCACAATTCGCAGAATTTACCCTAGATATTTATAAGTGAAGATCTAAATGCATTTTCCAATTTTTTTAAAAGACTTAAGACTTATTGATCCATCTATTTAGTTAAAATTAAAATAAAACTATATATTACAAGCATTCTGAGAAATACTTTCGATAAGTTATAACTTGAAGGATGGCCTATGAGCTAGTGATCCAAATTCGAATTTTTAACTATATAACTTTATAACTATATTATATATATGGAATCTTTGAAAATTTATTAGAATAGATTAATTTGAATATAAGATTTTATACGAGTATAAACATTTTTTGTAATAAGATTTAAGTGATTAAAAACTCTAAATAAACAGTATTATTTCTACGACAAAACTAACGTTAATCTTGTTTTTGTGTTTATTTAATATTAAATAAAATAAGTATTTTGATATAAAAATAAACAAGTATTTCTCTAAAAATGCAGTAAAAGAAAATAAATACTTAAATAAGATTATATAAGAAATTTTTTTTAACTGAAGTTTAATCTACAAGAGTATATAAGTATTGTAAAAAATTTGGATAAAATTGCTATAAAAAATTAGGTCTGCTCAATAAATATTTACCAATACAATATTTTTTTGACTATGTTAGAATTTGTTTAAAATATTATAAAATGAATGTAATTTTGTTTTTGTGAGTCAATACATCAGATTTAAAAACAAGAAAAACCTATTGGTTACAAAAAGTTAGTGTGACCTGAACTATCGTGTCAATGTTCTGTTGTTAGAACCTAAGATCAATTTTTGCAGTTATAAAAAATTGACCATAAAAGAAAGTGTAGTTTTATTAGCAAAACACATTTTTGCAAAAAAATTTTTAATTTATCCCACATTGTTTACATGCAATTTATATCTTAAATGACTTATTTACTGATTTTTCAGCAAAAACAAATTAATTTTTATAAATGAATTAGTAGCCTTATGAATTTTATTTACCCAATGCTTTTTGGTAGACATGCAATTAATTTTAGAATAAAATGCTACACCATAGCACTTGAATGCATGATAGTGATAGTATTTCAACTTATATTCCTTAAATCTGTATAAAGTAAAAGCAATTGATTTTCAATAGTTTGAGTTAGCACATGTGCATACATTAATATTTCAAATATTAAGGTTATTGTTGCTTTCAAACGATCATCATCATCATCATGTTTGATATCTATGTTTCAACATTTGAGAAAGATTTGCATGACTAAGCTACAGTCCCCAGCTACAGTAGTTGATGAATTTAATTTTAGTCTAATTATATTGAATAAGCTACTAAGTACTGTAGTCAGTTATTGTTACTCAATCATGTGAGTGCTTTTGAAATCAAAAATATTTTTTTACTATATTCTGACATTTTAAAAATCACACTTTCGCTCTACTAATATTAAGTTGTTCAATATTAACTGCAATACGAATTATGAATTTTAAAAACTGTGTAAATGCAACACACAAACCACGTTCCGCAATTATTGGATTTAATTGTTGCATGATTAATTATTGTAATTATTTCTGAATTCCTTTTGAATTGCTTTGTTAAAAAGTTCATTGCTTTCTGACTTTTATCTTAAGTTTTAAAATAATATTTTTTGATTGCAAAAGTATCTTAATTTAATTAAATTTTCTGAGGAAGTTACTTGCAAGCAGGTAGGGTAAGCAGGAACATTAAGAAGGACACTGAAATTTAAAATAAATCGAAGTAACATATACATACTGACAACAAAATTATAAATATCTAACTTGGAGTGTTTCTCCAAGATTTTGGTTTAAATAAAGTTAAACATAGCATGTATATACATATATATTTTATATATAAACTTTTGAGTTATTTTCGATTTTATGAACATCTGTTGGAATTAAATTTATTTATATGCTTTTAAACAAACTTACGATAAAAATGAAGTATTTACCATATACGTTATCATAAAAATCAGTAATTTAGTATTAATAAACATTAAAGAAATATTTAATCAATTTTATGCAATAAATTTAATATCATAACCAACTTGTAATCTTAAATTAAATTGATTTTTTTAGCAATTCTAATTAAATTTAATTAAATTTATTAAGATTTTATTGGTAACTTTAATAAACAAAAGTATAAATAATATACGTATTCAAAATTTAATCTTATAAAAAAATTTAAACAATAGTTTAATGCAAAGAAGTGCTAGAAAATTATTAGTTTGAAAATTATTAAGTTCACTTTGGTCCCAAAATAAATAGATGAAATTAAGCTCACAGTAATTACGAGATTTATAAATACTCTAGAATTCTTTTAGTTCGGCATTCAGCAACACAATAAATCTTTCAAGCCCCGGTTCATAGCCTATTATTTAATAATGATATAGCTTTACTTTAATCCGTTTTGGTAATTTGTTGTGTCCTTTATTTTAAGTATCTATTCAGAAAATATTTGTTATTATCCTGCAACTAACGTTCACTAAATATTTGTTTCATAAATATTCATCACTAAATATGACACAAGACGGGTTTCTTGTTATGAAATTAGCAATAGAATATTAAAAGCTTAATCATTTGCCATAAAGTTTTCTTATATTTTTACTTTTTGAATAAACTGAATCCTTTTCAGAATACAATAAGGTTATATATTGGAACATATTTTTGATTTTGATTACAACAATTCTAAGCAAGTACTAATCAAAGCACTAATTTCAATTCGCACGGTCATAATAATGGTATCCTTGACTATCTCCAATTATTTTCAATAATAACCTCTTTCCTAATACATTATTTCATTAGTAAATTTTGTATGCAGACTTCATCTATAATTTTATGTCATAATATGCGAGAAAAACAATGTCTCCATGAAAAAACATTTTTCCAAGTTTGAAGTACTCCTTGGAAGAAACTTTAAGAAATAAAAAGAGAGCAAAAACTTAATCTATCCCACTATTCCGCTGAGTTCCGCTGGGTTTCAGAGAAAACTACAGCCACAAACATATATTTAGTAACACTAGGATAGTTAAGTTATTAGTTTTAGCAGTTAGAAGTTTATATAAATAATTCTTGTATCTAGGTAATATGTTTAGTTTATAGATGTAATAAAGAATAATGAAAGAGTGAAATAAATGCAAATGAACACCTTCGAAATTTTTTTTGAAAATTTGAACATTATTCAAAAGTTCAGTAGAAAAATCGCAAAATTTTGTCTATTGAACATTATTCAAAAGTTCAGTAGAAAAATCGCAAAATTTTGTCTATGTATAGCCATAAATGGCCCGAAGAACACAGGTATGACATGGTCCGCCCATGATCAGAAAATAACTAAACAACTGATTAGTCTTGCTCGTCGCACGCAGATGCATTAATGGCTCCTTTCAAAAACTTCTATTTTAACTATAGATCACACGAACAACTCTACTCTACTCTATGAATTACTCTGTCATTGCTTGGGTCTTACCAGAAGACTCCCATTCACTCTGAAGCTCCATTGTTTTAATGTCTATCTGATATCACTACCATAGGCGTTAAAGATATTGACTTTTATTAAAAAGACAAAGTGTCTTGTACAAAATAAATCTATCTATACCTTAGTTCCTTAGACCGTTTAGATCGAGCTTATAAACTGTGGTATCACAATTGACCTAATTTCAGATTCTAAGTGAACCAATATTTTTGCGACACAGGCTACTACTTGTACTATATCTTAATAGAAACTTAATATTGTATTGATATCAATTATGACGTTTTCATATTAATTATGATCTAAATAAAAATATTTTTTGGTTTTCGTCATAATAAATACTATTACCATATAAAATTTTCTTAGATAGGAAAAATTTTGCGATGCGGAACACGTAAGTTGGTGAACTAGAGTAAGATACCACAACCGCAATTAAGACGTGAAATATTGGTATGTTTCACGTCTTAATTGTATTATTTAACAATGAACAATGAATAAAAGATATAAAGAGAAATATAAAATATAAATTTTATTTAGTCAATTGTACTTAATTAAGTACAGTTTTAATTCAAAAACTGTTAATAAATTAATTAAAAGACATTTATAATAAATATATCATAAAACGTATAACGGATTGTAATTTAATAATTTTAGGAATCAATCAGAACAGGAATGCTAGTAGTACCTCCATCACACAAAAATTGACTATCACATCAAAACTACTTATCCTGCTAATAGTTTTATTGATCATATTGATCATTGCCAGTGTGGTTGTGTATTTTAATGCAACTGGAAAAAAAGAGACGGGACCAATATTATTTGGGAACAATTATGAACATGGAACTTGTAAGTATTAAAAAATCGAAAGTTATAATTTATATTATTCTACTCATGAAATACGATTCACTTTTTTATTTTATTAACATCGTTACATTTTAATCTATCAACCATTTGATTTTATTATTATTTTTAAGTATCTTAGTTCCGAATTTAGGAAATGGACATCTAATAGTTGATCGTATACAATGGGGTGCTTCAGAATTGGCTAAAAAACTAACGATACCGTTGAAACATCCCATACCATATGTACTCATAACACACATCGGTGTACAGTCAGTACCTTGTTTAAATATATATAAATGCTCCATTAAAATGCGCACTATACAAGATTCAGCAATTGCTGAAAAGAATTTACCAGATATACAGGCAAACTTTTATGTGAGTCAACTTAATTGCCATTTGATCACGTACTTTTTTATTCAGCATTAATGAATTGTAATGTTTTTCCATAAAAGGTCGGTGACGATGGCAATATTTATGTGGGACGTGGCTGGGATTACGCCAATACTTATGCAAATGATACCTTGGCTGTGACGTTTATGGGTGACTATGGTCGCTACATACCAAGTGATAAGCAATTGGAAGCCACACAATTTCTATTGGCTCATGCAAAAACAAGTCAATACATTGACTTGGCTTATAAATTAGTAGCACAAAATCAGGTATAACCTTGTCTGTCTGATTTATTAACCTTTATTTTAAATTTATATCTCTACTTTTTTGCAGACAAAATCAAGCAAGAGTCCAGGTGCAAATGTTTATCGTTATATAAAGAACTGGCCACACTTTTATCCCTGTGGCATGGATGACAACCCCAAGTGTGGTAGTGAACTAGGTATGCCTGAGAAATGGGATGGAAATATGTAAAAGCTATGTTACTATACTTGCAATGTTGTTTCTTGTTTAAATATTTTCACATTTGAAATAATTTACATTAGATTTTAAGTAAAAATTTAATGAAATAAAGTTTTTATATTTATTGTTGAAATAAATCAGAAAGATAATAAATTTTTCAAAATATTCCTTATAAATATACTTAACACTTTTTATAAGTATATGCTATATT